AGCGAGTCTAATGAAGCCAGGCTGCAGAAGTGGGGCGACTGTGGAATCTCTTGCCCCTGGTTGCTGTCCCGTGTCTGGTTTTCATGGAAATTTGTGTCTGGGAATGAGGGGGAATCGGAATGGATTTGCTGGAGGCAGGTGCCTGCGTTCTTTGGCCGCGGCCGTCAGGACTCTGGTCCAGGATCTCTGAGAAGGGGAGGGAGTCAGAGCCANTAAATTTGCTGGCATATTGGGTTCAGCACTTTCACATCATTTTTTATCATTTGAGATAGCTCAACTGGAATTCTGTCACTGCCACTAGCTTTGTTTGTAGTGATGCTTCCTAAGGCCCACTTGACTTCACATTCCAGGATGTCTGGCTCTAGGTCAGTGATCACACCATCGTGGTTATCTTGGTCGTGAAGATCTTTTTTGTAGTGTTCTTCTGTGTATTCTTTCCACCTCTTCTTAATATCTTCTGCTTCTGTTAGGTCCCTAACATTTCTTGGGGATGGTCTTGATTCCTGTCTCCTGTGCAGTGTCACGAACCTCCATCCATAGTTCATCAGGCACTCTGTCTATCAGATCTAGTCCCTTAAATCTATTTCTCACTTCCACTGTATAGTCATAAGGGATTTCATGTAGGTCATACCTGAATGGTCTAGTTGTTTTCTCCAATTTCTTCAATTTCAGTCTGAATTTGGCAATAAGGAGTTCATAATATGTAGTATAGTAGTCTAAAAAGGAAGACTCATTAAGAAAGGAGGGAAGCCAGTAGAATGTTGTGTTTTGGAATCAAAGGAGGAAAAAACATTTTAAGGAGAAGGGAGTGATTATTTGTGTCGCATTTTTGATTGATCAAGTACAAAATGAGAACTAAAAGCTGACCATTGAAGCATTGGTCAGTATGGATGCTGCCGGACCCTTGACAGGAGCAGTCTTAGTGTAACAGTATGGATAAAAAGCCTTATTGGTGCGAGCTAAAGAGAGAAAGGGAGGGGAGGATTTAGATACAGGTAGTGTAGCTAATTCTCTAGGGGGATTTACATACTTGTAAAGGGGGCAGAAACTATAGGGTAGAAATTGAAGGATTAAGTGGAGTTGAGTATTTGTGTTTAGAAAGGAGAAATAACCCATGTTGATGGTAAAATTGGTGATACCAGAAAAGTTGTAAATTTTTTAAATGGGTTTATTTGTTTGTTTATGAGGGCGCTGGGTCTTGGTTGCTCTGTGTGGGCTTTCTCTTGTGAGTGGGGGCTACTCTGGGCTGTGGCACTCAGACTTCAGGTGCAGGCTGCAGGCGTTGCAGCACCTGGCCTCAGTAGTCGTGGTACTAGGGCTTAGTTGCTCCACAGCATGTGGGGTCTTCTGGACCAGGGCTCACACTCGTCCCCTGCATTGGCAGGTGGATTCTTACCTGCTGTGCCACCAGGAAGTCCAAGTGGAAGTAAATTGCTGAACAGTCTTCTTGTTTGAATAGAGAAGAATTGGAATCTACACCACAAATGGAGTAGAAGCACTGACAATTCATTATAATAGTGGAAAAATATATACAGACAAGTGTGGATTGATGTGGTGGGAACTAGTAGATAGTATCTTTTGACTGTTTTACTTTTTTAGTGAAATGAAGAATGGACATCAGCTGGGAATGAGTGTGAGGGAGGAGATTTGAGAAGTGAGGACAAGGTATGAATTGTTATGTAGAAGACTAAAGGAGTGAGTTAACTATGGAAATATAGTATGACTGCTGGGTAGCAGCATTTAGGATTCCTTTGAGCTAAGTCATCATGAATTTAAAGTGATCATAAATTGAAAGGTCAACATGATTGCATATTTTTTTTTCTCCAGTCGTGATTCACTCCTTGGGAAAGGATTGGAATAAACAAAGATTTAATTATAGTTCAATGCTGCAAAAGCAGGTAGGAGAATTGAGGGATGTGCAAGGAAGGGATTTTAATAGTTGACCATGGTCAGGGTATGTTTAGTCTTAAAAATGTGGGCACAGTGTTGTCTGCAGGACGTCTTGGTGGTAGTTTACAATAGTTAGTCGTAAATTTTGGTCTGGGGCTTAACAGTGCTGGAGAAAAAGAAAGGAAAAGAAACAGTACTGAAGCCCGGCCCGGGAGGGTGCTCTAGCATTTGAAGAAGATTGAAAAAGACAAAGTCTTGATACCAGCATTTAAAGGGTCAGGCAGAAGAAAAGCCAGTCAAACCAGAACTCTAGGATTCAAGTTTTTTCTGTGTACAGGATTTGAAATCCCTAACAAAGTGTTTGCCTCTCAGCCCTTAGTAATTATTAAGACCAAAAAGATACCATTTTTTCACTTAATTTGACTAGTTTTAGCATATATGCAGCCATGTGGTATCAGACCCATCATTTTATCTTTGCTGTACTTGAATTTTTCTTTGTAATGTTGTTGAATACTACATTTCCAATTTAATCAGTTGTGTCAGAATACTTTGTCACAAAAAAATGAGTGCCAGTCCATTACCATTACTGATGAAAAAAGCCAGTATCTTACCAACAAAAAGTCAGAAATCTGTTTTATATTCAAAAGATTATTGTTTTCAAATCTGTTTTAGATTAAATTAAGTCCCATATCTGTTGTTTTTTTTCTGAAACATAGCTCTTTTATAGATTGTGTTATTTTATACTTTAATTATTGAGTGACAATAACAGATTTTCATACAAGGAAGTTACAGTAGAGAAATATGATATGACAAAAGGCTTAGTTTAGAGCCTGTTTTAAAGAAGGAAATGTGTAGGAAAAATATTTCTAAATTACTATTTGAATTTTACATTGAGATTCATCTATAAGATTAAAAATTGTATAAAAGTTATGTATCATGTTTTATGATTTGAAGTATTTAATAATTTAGACATATTTAAAAGTTCTTTAAAACTGCAGTAGTTTGAATCCAGTCTAAATAGTGGTGATTCATATATTATTTTTTCCCCTCTGTGAAGTACTTCAGATGATACAGTCATTTAAATAATAATTTGGGCTGATTATAGGTTGAAGATTAAACAATATCTGGTTAGGGATGAAAAAGTGAATACGAATGTGTCACATTTGTTTCTGTGATCCAGTTTAGAAATTCAGGGTTGAGTTTAATAGAAATAAGGAGAGTCCTTTGTTTTAAGGAAGTAAAAGTTTTAGTTTAAGAGCAGGATGTGGTGTTTCAATGTTTTAAACTTGTCTGAGAGGAAAAAATCAGTCCACCTCTTTTTTTTTTTTCACCTCTTTTTCTTTAACATAATGTTTCCAATGTTAATTCTACTGCAGATTCACCTGTCCTGTAAGTTGACATTTGAAACAAGGAGTCTCAGGAAAAAGTTCATTTTTAGTAGTGAAAGTTGTCTTACATGGTATAAAGTGAAGTAGCACAGAGTGTAATTCTGCTGTAGTCTTGTTTAGTTTGGCAGTGTGCTTATAGAACTCTCCCCTTTACGTTGTTGTCTTTAAGAAGATTTTGGAAACACACTTGGACTGGTAGAACAGTACTTCTTTTCTATTTGAAGTCCACAGTAATGGGGCTGCTGTACATTTAAGGACCTAAATCATCTTACTGTAACCAATACTAAGTATTTCTTTTTGACAGCCCACTTACTTTTAAAAAGCATAAATTCTGACATATATTTTTGAAGAACTTAAAGCTATCTTTGCAAGCTATTCCTAAACTGTACTCTTAATAAGAAAAAATAGTCATACTTTGAGGATCATTTTCAATTATGAAACTTCACAAGATGGAGTGTTTTCTTGCATGTTTAACATAGAAATTGGTCAGTTTTCCAGAAACAGGCCATGTTGGATCCACGGTTATATCCTTATGGATTCTCTAATAAATAGAGGAAGAGTAGGATGAATGTTGCATTTGGAACATCCCAAACTATCGTCTTCCTCCTACTGGAATGATGGAAAAAGCTGAACACAGCTGAAAAAAAAAAAAAGATACCAGCTTCCCCCAGACTCAATTTCTCTTCTCTTGAATACAAGCTGAGTAGTTATATGTTTTTAAAATGTTTTTTGAAAAAAGGAAAGTTATACAAAATTATTATAAATTTAAAAAACAACAACAGTGTAGAAGAACAGTGGGAAGACCCAGAGGGATCGGGTGGAGAGGGAGGTAGGAGGGGGGACCGGGATGGGGAATACATGTAAATCCATGGCTAATTCATTTCAATGTATGACAAAAACCACTGCAATNAAAAAAAAAAAAAAAAAAAGACAAAATAAAAATAAAAAATAAAGCTGGAGAAGGAACATTTTCAAACAAACAAAAAAAAGAAAAAAACAACAGTGTAAGGTTAGGCCTTACTAAAGACTGGACAGTCGACCTTCAGGCCTGCTGATAAAATTGTTTTGCTTGACTAAAACTTCACTATAAACAGCTACATCTGATATACAGCAATAACAGTATGTTTTCATAGAGTATTTTTTTTCTAAAATTTCTACCATAAATCATATCAGTAGAGGTACACCTGAACAGAAATGACTTAATGACACCAAAAAACAACACAAGAAGATTACCTCTCCTAACAAAAAATTCTTACTGGGGTTTAACAAGAAACAGTTTTTTGCTTACTTTTCAGATTATTTTTCATATTACTTCATTTATTCAAAAAATATTTATTGAATACCTAGTTGATACTAAGCAACTAAGTGAACAGTAAAAAAAACAAAACAAAAATAAATAGCTCAGCATCTTGGAGCTTTCATCTAGTTAGAAGGAGACACGATAAATAACATAAATAAGCAAATGATTAGAAATCTAAGTGTTATGGAGACAAAAGAAGTAGAGAAGGGGAAATGAGACTTGAGGTGCAGAGAGTGGAAGCGAATTTCAGTTCTATGAGAAAATCATAGTATGCCTCACTATTGATATAATAAAAATAGTAAAAGGGAAGGTAAGAAGATAGTTAATATGATTAATGTTTTTCTTTTCTTTAAAGTTGGAGTATAATTGCTTTACGATGTGTTAGTTTCTGCTGTACAACATGAATGTTTTTCTTTTTACAGCTGGAATAGTCAGATGATTTCAGTTCGTGAAGCCAAAGCCATTCCCAGGCCTGATGGTATTGAATGGAGAAATAAATACATCTGTGTAGAAGGTAGTTTTCCCACAACTACTTTCTGTTTACCATCCAACTCATCTAGTACCGACCGAATCACTTGAATAATTTCAGCTTATATTTCATGTAAAAGTAATACATTTATGTCCTAAAGTGGTTTATAAGCTTTTTAATCATAAGATTTTAATTTTTAAAACATGATTTAATAAATTTAGGTGTTAAATGTTTCTAGTCGGTAAGATTTGAGCAGTCTACATGCATCCCTCATGCTATAGTTGGCTGAAATTTAGTTTCATGAGTTATAAGTGGAAGAAAATACTTTCTTCATGTGATGATCCTTTGAAATGAAATTAGTTTTTTTATGCTTAAATATTGACAATTGATACAAGCTTGAGCTTGATTTTATGACTATAAATTGATTTTCCATTTAAAATTAAATGCTGTGAGATATTCTATTCTCTAAAATTAATTTACATGTAGTTGAATATTTGTTTAGGTTGGTGGAAACTGACTTCAAGAGGCAATATTGTTTTCACAGATGCCAGGTTGATCACATTTGTAAATATTGAGATAAAAAGGAATTAAAGGGTTGAAATTTGGCATTTGTAGGAAAACATCAAATTTAAAATATTTTAATCTTGAATTATAATGCAACATTTTAAGAGTTTATAAATGTGAAATTGAATCCCCTGCTTTGGTGTTTGGTTTGCTAAATTGCAGTGTGTTAATATTATTTTAGTTACTTGGTTCTTGTGAATATTAAATACAGTTTTAAAGTGCTATACACTGTGTGATTTGATAGTTTTGCATATGGCATTATCTGTTCTAAGAAGTACAGTGATAATAAACTCTTTTTGAAATAGCCTTTCCGAGCAATTAAAAAAAGGAATTTTAAAAATTATGGACCTGATTAGATTATATGACATACCTAAAGTTAACCTCTCCATCAGATTCACACTTTTCTGAGGTCTTCCCCCTTATTCTAACAACTTTATTCTCTTTCTGTTTAGTCCCTCCTTTGAACTTTATAGCATACATAGATCTTCTTCTTCTTTGAAAAATACTCTTGACTTGATCCTACTGATTCAAAGTAGATCCTGCTGAATCTTTCTGTACTTTTCCCCTCTTTTTTAGTTCTAAAATTCTTAAACTCTAGTTTTAACCTACTGCTGGCATTATTTCAGCCCCCATTTCACTCCTAATGCCTTTAGTTATCCTGCCTTTCTCACTTTTATCTTTAGTTTCCTTGTTCGCTTAAATAGAATCAGCTTGTATCTGTATACGAACCCCTCCCTCATTTTGTGGGTGAAGGATGAGTAGAGTAAGGATGGATACACGGAAGGTACTGTTGGAAACACACACAGAATTTCTGCTTCTCTTCTCTCGTCTTGACCACTTGCTGTCCTGGTTTTTTCTCTTTCACTGCCGGCAAGTCACCGTTCTCACTGCATCTTTTTCAAGCCATTTAGTCACACCATAATTCTCTGCACTGTCTGCCATCCTCCCTGGTACTAAACCTCTACTTTCAAAGGCATTGACCTTTTTCCTACTAGACAAATCAGTGGTCTTTTAAGTTAAATTTAAAATTACCTCTCTGTGATATTTGACACTGACTGTATCTCTTGGTATAGTGCTTTTATTCTTTTTGATAACTCTTTATTCTTTAACTTGTATTTATTCTTTTCACGATAGGTTCCTGACTTGCTAACTCTTCAGAAATCTTACCTACTTTTGTGATTTAGATTTAATATTTTTGTGGTTTAGACTGAATACCTGTGCTGGTTACTTCATTTTAGACATCTCACTTTAATTGTATCTACTTTGATAGTTCATAGCTATTATAAAACTGTTTTCTGTAAGCATAAATCTAAGAAGATACAGTTTCTATTATGTAAGTCAGAAACAGTCAAAATATTGGCAGTTTCATGGAATTCAATCAAATAAAAAACTGAAGTTCTCATTTTAATAATATCTTGTTTATATGTGCATTTAACATTGTAGAACCTTTTGATGGAACAAATACAGCAAGAGCTGTGCATGAAAAACAGAAGTTTGATATGATCAAGGATCAGTTTTTAAAGGTAAATAATGCATCAGATTAACTCTAGAAACATTAGTGCACTACTGTGCTTTGAAAATTAAAAAAACAAGTATGTAATAGGAAAGAATAGCTCTGGTTCCTGTGATATGGAGCAATCAATGGGGGCACAGTAGGGACTTTATTACTTGAATTTAGAAATACTTTGCCTCCACAGAGATCTGACTCTGCTCTTACTCACATGGCCTTCACTTTGTGGAGATAAGCATTTACACAGGGAGCTTATTATTAAGTTGCCAAAGTGAATGAATAAAATTTAAAGGCCTCCTTTCTCTCCTTAAAATGTCAGAGAATCTGTAGCTTTAGAAGACAGCCATGTCTCTTCCATGTTTTTCTTCTGTATACCCAATTGTAACAAGGAACTAGAGCTCCATTTTATCTTTCTTTATATTCTAAGAAGTTAAAATGTGTGTGTGTTTGTGTGCACACACATTATATATATATAAACTTCAGTCATATATATATATAGACTGTAGTTTATTTCTTAGCTCCCTAGTCTGCAGTATGAATTTATTCATCAATGATTTTGCTAAAATTGACTCCTAGCTTCAAGTAATTCAACAGTACAGAGTAGAAACACATTGATAGAAATATGTACTTTGAGACATATAAGAGAGAGTGCTTCACAGAAGAAAGAGATCAAGGAATTTTAAAGGTGTAGTTTTTTTTTATCAAGACATCCAAGTAGATTTTATTTTGATGATAATTAAAAATGCAAGTGTATCATATTACAAGCTGTCCTTTAAATAGGCCCTCTCAGTTTGTCAACCAGAGGAGAAAATTTTAAATGAAATGGAATTCTGCAGGGGAAACCAAGTATCCAAGAGGGAATATTTTGTCTATCAGATTAAATTGAGAACTCAAAACTAACATTTCTACATTGTCATTCTTATTAATGAGTGTGCCTGCATGCATGCTAAGTTGCTTCAGTCGTTTCTGACTCTGCAGCCCTGTAGACCATAGTCTGCCAGGCTGCTCTGTCCATGGGATTCTCCGGGCAAGAATACTATAGTAGATTGCCATGCCCTCCTCCAGGGGATCTTCCTGATCCAGGGTTGAGCCTGCATCTCTTAAGTCTCTTGTTTTGGTGGGCGGGTTCTTTACCACTAGCACCACATGTCTTTACTTGGTGACTGTTTAGGTATAAAACCAGTATTTTTAGTCAGTTGAACAACTGAAGTAAGAGCAGACTCAAAGATTGCGGCCACAGTTTTTGGTAGTGGGCCTGATTTTTAGCTTATAAACAAGAATTTCATTTTCCTTCTTTTTTTTCTTCTTAAAAATTCTATTCACTCTTCTAGATCCATTGTGTAAGATGCTTTATATACTCTCTCCTTTATAAATACAATTTTTAATTGACAGAGCTTTCTAGATACAAAATAAGTCAATCAAATAATTGAAGTAGTCTTTCCCTGCTCTCTCAAACCCAAAGGTTTTTTATTACTTTCATATTTTACATGACATCTAAATCTGTGAATAAATGTTAATATTGTCAGTTGCTTGTTTTTTGTACTACCTGTGTGTGCATTTCTTTATAAATGAATTTGAACTATACAGGTGTAAAGTTTTTAAATAACATTTTGTTTCAGATGACAGAAGCAATAGTTTTACTCTTGTTAAAAACTTGGGAGATTAAAAGCAAACACAAAAAAAGTCACCCCAAATTTTACTGCACAGGGAAATCAGTGTTAACATTCTAATAACTCCCCTTTCAGTCCTTTGTTTCACATATATTTTAGGTTTTAAGAATGATTTTTTCTTTCTCTTCCAGTCATGGCACAGATTGAAAAACAGAAAAGATTTGAACAGTATACTACCTTTAAGAGCTGCTATCCTGAAAAGATAACTGGCCTCTATTTCTTAATAAAGAACAGTAGTTACATCATAATACGTTTTGTCTACCTTCATCGTGGTTTCTTTTTAATTGTTCTTGTTTTCATGTTTTATTCTTAAGAAGACATACTTCTATAAAGAGTGCATATTTTATTATGACGTTTCCTAATAAAACCCTTTGATTTAAAGATGTATTTTTGAAAATGTTTACATTGTTGATTAGTAACATTATGACATGAATTTTCAGGAGATCAGATAAAATATTTTTGGGGGAATTATCTGAACAAATAAAAGGTTTTTGCTATAACTTTAATTAATTGTACCACATGCTAACACTGAAGAGACATGTGGACTTCTGGAAAGGGTCTGATTCCTACATCCTTAAAGTAGAACCTTCAATAGATGGTTTGTTGCCTGAGTCTGTTCTAATGAAGTGAAGGTTTGAGTCAGTTATTCAGTTACTTGAAGCAAAATGACATCTTTGATTTCATTGAAAGAACTATAGAACAGGAAATACTGGACAGTTGCCCTCAGCCCTCACTTGACTGATCAGGAAAGACGGAGGCTCTGGTTGTGTACATAATAGCATTTCATTAGTACCTCACATGCCTTTGGTGGACTCAAGATTGCTTTAAATTTCGTGTTGAGCAACAGTACATTTTGCACTAGTAATATGAGCACTAACTCTGTCTCGTACAGCAGTTAGGGAATTGTTTTGAAGAATCGGTTCCGTGTAGACATTTTGAAAAGATTAAGTTCTCTGCTTTATGATAGCTTAGTGCAATATGCCCTTTTGCTTTACTTCCCATTTTCTTGCTTTTATTTTTCCTGTGATATGAAGCAAAAGAAACTGAAAGATCAAAATTGAGATTATATCCTATTGATAGATTCAGAGTTTTATCTGTGTGTAATTATAGGATTGTAATCTAAACTGGAAGTTGTCGATAGTAAGCCACTATAAAATGTTCTAGATGATTTTCTAGATACAAAATAAGTCAATCAAATAATTGAAGTAGTCTTTCCCTGCTCTCTCAAACCCAAAGGTTTTTTATTACTTTCATATTTTACATGACATCTAAATCTGTGAATAAATGTTAATATTGTCAGTTGCTTGTTTTTTGTACTACCTGTGTGTGCATTTCTTTATAAATGAATTTGAACTATACAGGTGTAAAGTTTTTAAATAACATTTTGTTTCAGATGACAGAAGCAATAGTTTTACTCTTGTTAAAAACTTGGGAGATTAAAAGCAAACACAAAAAAAGTCACCCCAAATTTTACTGCACAGGGAAATCAGTGTTAACATTCTAATAACTCCCCTTTCAGTCCTTTGTTTCACATATATTTTAGGTTTTAAGAATGATTTTTTCTTTCTCTTCCAGTCATGGCACAGATTGAAAAACAGAAAAGATTTGAACAGTATACTACCTTTAAGAGCTGCTATCCTGAAAAGATAACTGGCCTCTATTTCTTAATAAAGAACAGTAGTTACATCATAATACGTTTTGTCTACCTTCATCGTGGTTTCTTTTTAATTGTTCTTGTTTTCATGTTTTATTCTTAAGAAGACATACTTCTATAAAGAGTGCATATTTTATTATGACGTTTCCTAATAAAACCCTTTGATTTAAAGATGTATTTTTGAAAATGTTTACATTGTTGATTAGTAACATTATGACATGAATTTTCAGGAGATCAGATAAAATATTTTTGGGGGAATTATCTGAACAAATAAAAGGTTTTTGCTATAACTTTAATTAATTGTACCACATGCTAACACTGAAGAGACATGTGGACTTCTGGAAAGGGTCTGATTCCTACATCCTTAAAGTAGAACCTTCAATAGATGGTTTGTTGCCTGAGTCTGTTCTAATGAAGTGAAGGTTTGAGTCAGTTATTCAGTTACTTGAAGCAAAATGACATCTTTGATTTCATTGAAAGAACTATAGAACAGGAAATACTGGACAGTTGCCCTCAGCCCTCACTTGACTGATCAGGAAAGACGGAGGCTCTGGTTGTGTACATAATAGCATTTCATTAGTACCTCACATGCCTTTGGTGGACTCAAGATTGCTTTAAATTTCGTGTTGAGCAACAGTACATTTTGCACTAGTAATATGAGCACTAACTCTGTCTTGTACAGCAGTTAGGGAATTGTTTTGAAGAATCGGTTCCGTGTAGACATTTTGAAAAGATTAAGTTCTCTGCTTTATGATAGCTTAGTGCAATATGCCCTTTTGCTTTACTTCCCATTTTCTTGCTTTTATTTTTCCTGTGATATGAAGCAAAAGAAACTGAAAGATCAAAATTGAGATTATATCCTATTGATAGATTCAGAGTTTTATCTGTGTGTAATTATAGGATTGTAATCTAAACTGGAAGTTGTCGATAGTAAGCCACTATAAAATGTTCTAGATGAGACATAAAATTATAATAAATAAAAGCATAGCATTTGTAAAGGTTTCTTTTTTAGTATTTCTTTTCCACAAGAAGAAATAGTGGTGGCTGCTAAAAAAGCTACAGTGTTTATTAAGGTTGTTTTTGGTGTAAATATTTGTAAATTGGTCAATGCCTGTAAATGTAAATACAAATAATCTTAAAAAACAGTTCTAACTTTTTCAAAAGGACTGTGTACAACTTTTTTTAGACCTGCTGTGGCACAGTTTGTTACCTCTAATGTATTTGGATTTTTTGCAGACCAATTCAAATGCTAAGACTTGCTTTTTGACTTGTAAAAGGTGCATATTTTCATTTTTTTCTTTAAGTTTAAAGTTTTGTATGATCAAATGGAATAAAGTTTATATATGAAAATTGTTGATATGGTTTTTGGGGGATTGTTTTTTTCTGTGGAGGTCTTTACTTCTGAGATGAGATTGAGGGTGTAGTTCTCATCTGGAACTGAACTGAATCCGGTTATTGTGTGTAATTATTTAGATTATGCAGAGAATCTTGGAATCAAGTTCATTCTTGGTTAAGCCAACTAGCCACATCAGCACCTATTTCTCTGGCATTATTAGGAATGAAGCTTTCCACACAGATGAATTTTTCAGTTTACTAGTGATTAATGCTTTTGAAGTAATTAAGCTTTATATATTTTTTTCTGGAAATTTCTCTTAAATGTATCCTTTACTGTGCAACTCTTCTTTATGAGAATGTGTTGAATTTAATTAATATTCTCGTAATGACTCCAGGTAATAATTATAAACAATAAATAATAGCTGTAGTACTCCATAACCCTGTGCGGCTCTCAGGTGTCTGGGGCATTCTCCTGCTATAGTATTACATTCCTATAAGACCCCGGAATTTATCATGGACATCTTTACTGCCACTGTTTTCTCAGCTTTCAGTGACCACTGGGGGTTCAGCTGTATTGCTATAACAAATAGATCAAAATGTTAATAAATTTATACCTAGTTGTACATCAATACAAACTGGGTATTGTAAAGCAATACCCAGTTGTAAATCAAAGCTAAGATTATGCATTTGTGACAGCTAAATATGTCAGATAAGTGGTATGTCAATATAAGAAGTTTTTAGGCTTTTAAATTGTTTTCAATATGAATTACTTATTTGTGTTGTGAATAATACATTCTTTTATATTCTGTTTATTATGATCTGGCCATTTCTGTTTATTTGCATTGTTAAGAAAGTAGTGTTAGAAAGTTTAAAACATGCAGTTTGTACTGCAGTTCTAAACTTTGGATTGGTTTGAGCTAGGGTCTTCACAAATCTTGTTGACTGTCGTTAGTATTCCTAAGAAATTTTGAGTTAAACGGAGGGAATACACAATGACTATCTGTGGTTTTGATTAGTATTTAATAATTCCAATAGCTGTAATTGGTTCCTTTTTGTCCTAGTGAGCAGACATTTGGGATTACTAATGCAAAAGCCTAACTCCTGTAGGAGAAGGCATATTTCTGATGTTAAACCTGATTTAGTGAACCCTGGAAGACTGGACTCTGCTGTCTTCCCTCACATGCCCCTAGCTGATGCTTCTGAACTGCGTCTCAACTAGCTGCAGGTCTTTGCTCACAGCCCTAATGCGCACACACAAGCTCATGTTACTGGGGAATACTGCCTAATTTACATGTATCATATTTAACAACTCTATGAATAGAGTTTGCTGTAATTAAAAATCAGTGTTAGCTCTTCTAGCCATAAAATCATCCTTATGAAAAATATGTATTGTAAAGATAGCTCTACTTGTACATAGCTGGTCTTGGTCCTGTTCTCATCAGTGCCGGGGACATTCATTAAGCACCTGCTGCTGCTGCTAAGTCTCGTCAGTCGTGTCCGACTCTGCGACCGCATAGACGGCAGCCCACCAGGCTCCCATCCCTGGAATTCTCCAGGCAAGAACACTGGAGTGGGTTGCCATTTCCTTCTCCAGTGCATGAAAGTGAAAAGTGAAAGTGAAGTCGCTCAGTCGTGTCCGACTCTTTGCCACGGTAGCCTACCAGGCTTCTCCGTCCACAGGTGTCCAGGCAAGAAAGAGTACTGGAGTGGGGTGCCATTGCCTTCTCTGATTAAGCACCTAATATGTGCTAAATACTTTGCTAAGCTTCCATGCTTGTAAGAAATGGGGAGAGTGGGACAAAGATGAGTAACTTATGGTCTAGTGGGGGAAAGAGACACAAACAATTTGAATATAGGATAATGTGGGAACTTAAGACAGTAGTATCGAACTTGAGCTGGGGATTCCAGAGAAGGGTACAGTCTTGGATGATGAGTATACAGGTAAAATAAAGGCGGGAAGAAAGTTTCAGGGGAGAAGAATTTGTAAATAAAGATAGGGTGTTATGACTTGATATATGTTAGAACTCCTGACTTCTAAAGAAGAGAGGAGGCAGCTATGATGTGAGTTAGCGTTTATCTTCCCAAGGAGCTTGGGCTTTCGTCTTAGAGCAGTGGAAAGCCATTGAAGTCTCAAGCATAGGCACAGCATGATCTGGGCCTTTGGGTTGAATTTCAGACAAAACAGACTTTGGCTAACGTAGGGGGAATTATTCCTCTTCATAGTTTAAGATTTGTGGAGATAAAAGTTTCCTAGTTGAATAATCCAGGGGTCACTGACAAAGAGAACACACAGTTTATTGATTTGCAAATGTAAAAGGAGACGGGTTCAAAACTGGGCTTTCGCAATGGGCCGACTTTGTCTCCCATTCGGTCCCTCTGCGAGCAAGGAGGC